GTATGTTTACTCAGACTTTATATTTTAGAACACTGACCGTACACCAGCACTTATGTAGGTTAATGAAGACTATTCAGTAGTAAGATAATGAATGGAAAATTGTTCCTATGAATAGAGGAAATTCAGAATAACCAAACTGTTGGCAACAATGTTGATTTACAGAATATAATAATGAGGCACAGTGATCTGATGCTTTTGTGATATTTTATTTATTCTTTCTCTTTTTAACTCTGTGGCCAAAGTAGTCATGATTGAGCTCTTTTTCAGTATAATTGTCTAGATCTGCTTGTAATAAGATTTCTTGGTAGGAAGTTAAAACCAGTGCCAGGTTACGGACATGAGTCGTAGACGAGGTTAACAAGGAAAAGTGACATCAATATCATCGATTAGTTAAATCCTGCTATGTCGTAAGGGGCCGTAGGCAAACAAAATGTTCTGCCACACAGACATGTGTAGATTGAGGTTATCGCCCCACCGTCATGGATGCTGGTTAGATACACAACCCCCCTCCTTTTTTGATGTTAGGCTCTCTTACGTTTAATGGTTGATTGTAAATAATGCTTTCTAGTCTACTCTTTATTTTCTGTACACCTTGTTGGAATTCACTTTCTCTACTAGCTCCACGTCACAAAACAATCCAGACAATTTTGCCTTCTGTATGAAAGACAAAATATCCACGTAGCATGTCACACTGATTTTAAGTAAAGTAATAGTCTAAACTGTTGGAAATGTATCGGTTAATAGGTAGTTTTGAGATAGGAAGGACAAGGAGAGTGATACAGTGGGTTTGATTTCCTTGTAATTGACTGTAATTGATCAGCATCTAAAGGCTTTTCACTTTATCTGTCGACTAGAAATAAAACTAAAACGGCTGTTTTTCTATCTTTATAATTATCCTTCTTTTTCTTTATCTCTTGAATCTTATCCATTGTATAATGAAAGGTCCATTGTTTGTGGTGGTTGTTCTTGAGGAGCAGATCCTTGTGGCACAGTGAAGTTTCCGAATGTTCTCCATGGTAATTATTTCTTTTTTGGGTATTTTAGTGAAAATGCTGTAACCTAGTTACCACATGTTAACAATATTTTTTCCTCCATTTTAATAATAGGATAGTTTAAGTTGATTCAAATAATGACACGACAAATAATGAACGAAATAAGACGGGATGCCATGGATTTTAGTACTAAATTCCCTAATTCAAATTACCTGATGTAAGTTTGGCATCTTAGCTGATGTTATTTCGAGATGCAAACCCTAACTCTGATTCTCAAACTTAACTCCTAACTCATAATCCTCACTAGACACTAGTTAGTCGACTAATTTTCTAAATGTCTGATTGGTGTCATACTGATGTCGTCTATAAAATAAATCTTACCGATTCGGAATGAGGGTTGTCTATAGTTCATCGTTTCAGATATTTCAGCTGGGCTCGTGTAGCAGTAACATCAGCAATATTTTACAGGAAAAGTTATCCCACAGTTCAACGCCTAGAGTTCACATGGCCTACCGTAGGCGCACTAAAATTTCCTAGCATTGAACATTGGTCACATTGGTCACACACGTTTTTGCACTCCCCACTACCACGAGATATTTTATCGAGATCGTTAAATAGGAAAGCAATATAGCTGCCCCTCCTTTATACCTGTGGGTTCTACTGACCATAAATTTTATGAACTTTTCAGAATCCTGTTCTCTATAATCTACAGATTGGCTAAGACAGGTTTTTGTGACGACGATAAGATTTGTTGTTGTCCATAATTCCTAGATATAGAATGTTTAATCCAACACTGTTATCAACTGGGAGTTAAACTTGTAGGAATTCTTGCGTTAAATGACAAATACTTCGTTTGCCTCATGACCAACTGAGAATGTTTCGTACACCTCCAACGCCTGTCTCCTCTTGTGCTCTAATTTTGAACCTGCGCCGCTGATGTTTCGAAATATATTCTCCAACTAATCTCATAGTAAGTGATATCTTAGCATCGCTCTATTTAACACTTGAAAAAACGGCAAAAGCTGTTACGACTGACTAAGTTTAGAGACAAATCGCACTCACGTCTCACACACGGTCATCCAATGTATCGTATTCGTCTTTGTATTAAATGAATTGTTCTACCTGAAGCCCAAATAATTTCCTTACTGTTTCCTACAAACGGCTATTGACTTTCATGAGAGGAAAGTTAGTAAATGCCACGATGTGACTTGGACGTAAAATCTCATAAAATTTAAGATGTCATAATATGGCAAGTGAGAATATTTAACTAGGCCTTTTATTTCGATAGAATAGACGCGTACCAGCTTAAACTCTAATCCATCAGACTATTCATTGTGAAGCTATTCATGTTGCTGTCTCTAAATCTCAGTTGAACAGCTGTTATAATGAATCAAGTTATGCACTGAGGAATTTACCACATCCTGGTCCATACTGTGAGAAAATACCGCATGGAAACGATTAGACTTGAGTAAGTAATTGTTCTAGTTGGAGCGCATTGGAAAAAAATTCCATACTGACTGAAAATGACGATCCGAAAATTCACCTGAATATCATAGGTTCGTACTTTCTGTGAGCGTAATTTAGATATACAATTCGAATACCCAACTAAAAGCTTGCAGTTCTAAAGCGTGAAGGAATAAATATTTCAAGATATAAACACTCCTAATTCAAATGATACTTTTCTGAATCACTTCGTGGATCCAACCCAGTAGATTGCCACTGAATATTTATCTCTGGCGAATCATCCTCCCAAGTACTAACATACAAATATATTCCATTCAACTGAGAATTGAAGCATACACAGGTCGTTCACATTAACAGCTGAAATAAAAAGATCCTCGTGACTACACGAAACCACAACATTTTCGACTTGGTAATCTATCTCAACGGCACACGAACTTCTTAAGCGTTCCGTCAAGTTTCAGAACAGCGATCACAAAATAGTTCACTGCAAATTACTATCTCCAACAAAATACGAACAGTCTGAAATTAGGCTTAAGCATTTACAAACAACAACCTACTCGCAAGTAGAACATTTAAAACACTAAAGCCAACCATGATTTCTAGTAGGAAATGCTTATTCGAAAGGCCTCATGGGTTTTCAGAAACTTGAGCATGGAATTTGCTGCATTGTCTGTTCATCAAAGTACATTATGGAATTCACAAAACTCCTTACCTTAGTTCTATGAGGAATTTCATATTCCTCTCCGTTAAAGAAAAATAATACGAGGTAAAGTTGGATTTATCGGCATTCGTGAGACAAAATCTCAATTTCATGGAGCCTGAAATTTCGATGCCTCAAAGTCCCAAAGATCCTATGAAATGAAGGTTGTTTAGGACTTTATAGACCACTCTATATTCGTATATAAACCAACGAACTGAAAGAACGGGTCGAATTGCACTATTTTCAGGAGACAGCGGTACCAAATAATTAAGTGAAGGAGATAATGGAGAAGTTCAGATACTTTAGTAGTGAATATACTGTATGAATACCCTTCACGTCAGTTCATACGAGTCTTTTGACAGGCACTCTGTAAGCCAGTACTGTGGAGAAACCCTATGTCTTTAGTCTGTCTAAAAAGTTCGATATGAGTAAATCTCTGGAAACCAGTGAAGTTCATTGTAAATTACTGAACGAACGAATAGATTGCATGTCATCGGTTTGTAACTCAAAGTAGATTACTAAAAGAGAGAGCTCCATAGTAGTTTCAATCTTCGAAAAAAGTATCCGATGCAAACCTGATAATTGTCTATCCGTAAGCCTAACCAGAATTGTTGATAAGGTTATGAAGATTATTTTGAAGTAGGTTTTTAGATACCTATATGAAAACCGGACTCTTTCCGAGAATCACCACTGCTCTAGAATAGACCATTCATGTCTTATAAGCTTATAAGTAGCTCATGAGAGTTGGTACGCTATTAAATATCGAAATCAACTTATAGATATAATCTTCGTAAGTTGGATGAAATCGGAATTAGAGGCAACTTATTCATATGAATCAAGAAGTTCCCAGTTGGGCATCAATCAAGATAACGATATAAGTCCAAGTTGACTAGCTGGGAATCTGTTTAGCTTGGTGCCTCAGAGTATAGTTTTGGGCTAAGTGTTGTTCCTACAGTATGTTAATGATCTTTTTATTCTTCTGTTACATTCGTTTTTGTAATACACTGATGATATAAATGTAATATAAGGGCGAAAATTGTTGATAGGTCCGAACTGAGAAATAACCTGCAGAGCTTATCTGCGTGGTGTGTAATGATGCGTACTAATCAACCAGGCGCAGACAAATATATTGTGAGTAAATTTGAACTACCTGTTATCCAGACATATAATGACATCGGCGTCATCGTTAACCATGGCTTGAAAACTACAATATGATAGAAACCAGCGGTTTTAGAACTCTGTGGTCAGTACATATTGCTATTGTCCATGTTTATGTTGATATATTCTTGACCTCAAAAGGGTGCTTTTTGCCTTTTACTCGAATGTTTTATAGTCATTACTAGTCCTAACGTACGGCGAGTAGCCTGATTTCCGGAATCGCAAGGCTGCAATATGACAAAAGATTGGTTAAACTTTTCCCTTGCCATTTAGACGCATCAGAGGTGACACAATCACCGGTTTTATTGATAAATTTGCATCCCACATGCCCTTAACTTTTTTTCTTTCGAAACTAATGGTTTGCGAGGTAACTATAAAAATTTTCACAAACCACGGACAATTTATCTACCGTCTTACTATCGAATTCCCTATCAGATTATTTACAAGCGGGACTTATATTAGGATGTGACCAAAGCTCTATCTGTGGTTGAATCGGAGAGAAGGTTAAATCGACCAGGACAACACCATTGCCAGGACTAACACATGCCATCCAGAATCTACTTTTGAGTTTCCTTAGATCTGAAACTTTGGAGTTGATCTCTTATATTTTGAATTTTTGTCTCACGATGTTGTTAAAAATCACCGAACGTTGAATGAACAGTTATCCTAAAGAAGTCGTTCTAAAGATGAAGGCATCACTTATTTGTTTAGTCGAACTCATTTCGTGTTATTTCAAATGTATTATATATTTTCACGGTATGAACCCAGTTGAACTATTGTAATAACTCTGTTTTGAAACTTGACTCCCACGTTTTAGGTGCATCTTTATCGAAAAGTACAGAATTTCGAAATTCAATGCCAGAGAGGTACAACGTATTTATTCATTTTGCTCTAAACCGGACGTTTATCGTAGAGTAAAATCCAGCGACATCTATTGTCGTATATGTTTGGGGTCTAGTGACTTCGAAGAACTAATCAGTCCTTGCTTTTGCGCAGGTAAAAAAGCAATTATCTCTTTGTAATCTCACGAAGTTAACAGGAACAATAGGGATTGTTCATCAACGGTGTTTGGAGAAGTGGTTGAACTTGTCTCGATCAAGTACCTGTGAAATATGCGGCTGCACATTTGAAGTCTCGAAACGATACCCTCACTTTTGCAAGGTCTGTCTTATATTTGACTGCGTCAGTTAGTTTGCTTTTTCGATCAATTAAAATCAGCAGATATTATCGTAATTAAATGGATGGTGATTCGCACAGTTAAGTACAGCCTTCTAGTAGCTTCAATAAAAGAGAAAAAGGAATGTTTGAATAAAATATGTAGAATTGTGGTATACTAGTGATCTTACAAATATTTTCATCCGTTTATACTTGCACGAGTTATCTCATGCAGATATTTGTGATGCATATAATTCTTGATTACTTGTTTAATCACAGCAAGTTCTCAATGGTTACTTTCGGCCAAAGCGTTCGGATGCAATTTATTTAACTTGTTGTTTTGAGGTTATTATATTGGAGCCGTTGGAACTGGTCGAAATATCGACCATTTTCCACAGACTATCCTTACTTATAACAGCAAAAGATCACGTTGGCTTTGCCAAACTCACTTTTGGAAGTTTTCTGCTTGTTTTCGGTCGTGAGGTTTAGAGTAATAATCTACTCGCCATCACTAAGAAGTCATTCCATTATCTTAGTCTTTACCTTTCGGCTAATTGCCATGGTCCGGTTTTTGATACTACTAACAAACCAGTCTTTTATAATCGAAAGGCAACTCAAAAGATGTGATCTGTCTTGTGATATCCCTTCAAAGTTATAAATACTCGTTTTGTTTGAGTGAACACATATATTCTGAAGTTTCGAAAATCTTCGTGGTGTACTGGTTATAGGTACGAATCGAGATAGGTTGTGTACTACTCGACTACTACTTCTTCGTCTTGATTATTATACTTTTCTTCAGGTTTCAAAAAGTAAGATTCACAAAAGTTAGATATTCAGTTTTTACCTGAAGATATCCACATTGTTATTGTAGTAAAAATGATTATATCGACAAATGTAGGGTTTATTAAAATATATTCAACTACCCTATCGATGTTGCCAGTTATCAAGTGACAACATGTTACGCGCATTTGGTGATATTGAAACTCTCAGATTAGCTGAAAAGTTACTCAACTAGCTATGATTAGACTGAGATGCAACAACTCGAAAGCAAAATGAACTCATACAAATGTTCTACATTCAAGTTATGAATAAAGCGCATGTCTATCTAAAAATAATTTGTTCCCCACATAATCGTTAGTTTAAATCATAGAAACTAAATTCAAGACCGAAAAGGTAGCTGAAAGTGCTAAACTCTTATTTGTATCTGGAAACAAGTTGACGATACTTGCGAAAGTCATATAACAAAGAAGATTCATTTATAGTGCACGTGATATCGGTCACTACTGATTAATTATCACAATGACAAACGATTCTTTACATAACGATGATTCATTTCAAAACTATGAAAAACTAGCATAAAATGGAGATATTGTAACAAATTTTTATTATTTATTATTAGAACGTCAGCTTTTTATAAACTAGGAGGCATTATAGGGATCCTATAAAGTAACATTATCGAATCAAAATAGTAAAATCGTTGACAAATATTTGGTGCATCACTATTAGTTTTTATGAAGAATATTTCCAACTACCGTATTCAAGTAAAACTTAAAGGATGAGTTTTAACAGTCCATAACAACTTTTCGTTGTTTTAAACCCTGAATAACGATTACGGTGTTCTTTTTCTGTAGCTTTTAATTCATTGGCAGGAACTATTTCTAGCTTTTAAGTATTTGAAAATGTGCTCATTGATCACTTTAGATAAATAAAAAACACAAATATTGATTAGTACAGAAATAATTTCAAAGTAAACACTAATGTTTAGATTGCTTTGCTGGTTTGAAGTTTCAGAACGTATTTTGTGAAAAATAAATAACGAGGACGGTTTGTTTGCTCAAAACCACTTCAAGGATTCCGAGTTACCGTAATTTATGATGGGTGTTTAGTCGACTTGATAACCGTTATTCTGGTACTGAGGTAGGGTAGTAAACAACCAGGTTTGAACTTTCCAATTGAGCGACGGGAGTTGAAGTCCATTAATTTGCTGTCGTAATCAAAGATTTGCTCTCCAATTGAACTTCAATGTCGATTTCCGATTACATAAAAATTTCGTCAGGCAACTATGTCATATACAGATAACCGAATAAATGGGATTTGTTTTAGTGACGTCATGTGCTAATCCATCTGCCTACGTGGGATCTATTATGTTTGTGAAAGGCAATTAATGGATAATTTTAATTTGCTTTGTATCCCTTATTTGTTTAAACTTAGACTCAGCATTGTTCTCAAAATGTGAACGATACAGGTTGTTTTCATCTTTGTTTACTTAGTGGTTATGGATGGGAGGAAATGGAGTTGGAACACATCGCCGAAGATATTTATGGACAGATTTAATTTGTTTACTAATAATGGTACCTTTACTGATACTGTGCGCATGGTTGGCTATATCTTCTAATCAAGACGGAGCTAACACCAATGCAAAAAGGTTCCCATGGCAGTCCTTTTTTCTTGGATTATTATGCAGCCTTCTGCTGTTAGTATTTAATATTTGGTTAACGGTGAGTGTTGGAATTATCGTATTTAACCACTTAGAAACACTAAGTGGTCTGAACTGAATATTCTAATTTACAATAAATTACAAACATAATTTGCGCTTTGGCGCTTCCATTTGATGTATAAGACTTCAAAATCACCAAACCAACTTATTTGAAACTATCTTATTTCTAACGAGGTCCCTTTGAATTCGGTCGAACGTTTAACTAAATAAAGCATTCTCACCGTCAGTCTCCTTAAGCTGAAAACAAATCTACAAGGCTCATAAACGTATAGTCCTATGCTACCTTTAGGCTTTCAGAATATTTGAGGCCATTACTTCAGTGTGTACAGAGGTTCAAAGACATTGGGTAGGTACATAATTGATTTCCTTTAAAAATTAGCTAAGAGTGAGTTAAAAAATTTTCGCCTAAATCTGCCAGTCCATCATAACATACTCTCGTTGTTTATTAAATAATGTGAATCTAGAAATTTATTAAGATGTCAGAAGGTAGTAAATAAACCTTTGTTCAGCTCCATAACTAACAAGTGCACCTGGAGCCCTTATAAGATTACTGTCAGTCCCAAGCCCAAATAAGAGAAGGGTTGAGGATTACGTTAGCAAAATTATCCCGTGTAAAACAAAAAAATATAACTGAAACTATTTAAATTCTGCCCTGGCAGTTGTAATATCTTCAATTAAATGAGGTACGACGCCTTATGATGAAAGCCGAGTTTCCTCAGAAATCACGAGGTCGATGCCTGTTTTGAAAACCAGAGGAACCGTTAATATATGTACATAAAACATTCGAACATTGTGCAAGACTACGAGAGTCATCGAAGGTGCTGCAGAAATGGGAAGATACAACCTGGTAGTACTTGAAAGTATTGTTACACATTGGACGTAGGCTAGAAAAAAGGATTAGCTTCAGGAGAGATGCTGTTGTACTCCGTCTGTGAAGAAGAAAACACCTCAAACACATGTAGAGTTTCATTGATGCTGCCCAAAAAAGCATAAATACAGCTGCCAAAGGATGTGGATTACATGGAACAAGGATCATCAGAGTATCCTTGAAGAAATAGAAAGAAGGGATTTCAGTTAACGTCAACCGATGATAACAATGAAGACGATAGAGATAAATTTTATGAGAAGCTGCAATCAATCGTCAAAAAATGCCCCAAAACTGATCTGAACTTTGGATCTGAGACCTAAATTTCAAGGTTGGAATGGACAACATCGGATATGAAAACATCACGGGACGACATGAACTGGGACACATGGATGAAAAAGATGGGGGGATTTACAATTCTCTGTGACCTCAATAACATGATTATAGTCAGCACAAACTGACATACAGAGCTACATGGGTTTGATCGGATCATATTACAAACAGCCTAATGGATCACATCAGCATTCACAAAATGTTCAAAAGGACAATGGAAGATGTGGGAACCAAAAGAGAAGCTCATATAGCTTCAGATCACTACTTGGTAGTGGCCAAAATGATTCTGGAATTAAAGGAGCGCTAGGAAACTGTGAAAACAGCATTACAAGTCTAATACGGCATTTTTCAAGATACTAGCAAACTCAACGAATTAGAGATAGCCCTCAGCGACAAGTCCCAGCTCTTTCAAAAAATACACAATGAAGAAAGAATTACCATGGAGAACATTCGGAAGCTTCATTGTGTCACAAGGCTCTGGTCCGCAAGAACCACCACTACAGAGAATGGACCTTGTTTATACACTGGAAAGACTGAAGAAATAAAGAAAAGGAATATAGCAATAACGGTCGAAAAACAGCAAAAAAGGCCACGGCACAAGCTGAATACACAGAAGCAAACAAGCGAATACAGAAGAGCATCAGAAATGATGAGCGAAAATATGTGGAAGACCTAGCAGCGATAGCGAAAAAGGCTGAAAGAGAAGGAAACATGAGACAACTATACGCTATATCGAAGAATCTCGCTGAAAAATATAGAAAACCAGAAAGACTGGTGAAAAGCAAAGAAAGTAAGGTAATCACCAGCATTGAAGAATGGCGAAACAGGCAAGTAGAGCACTAGGAAGGTCTCGTGAATCAACCGGTTCCACTGAACCAACCAAACATCGAAGCATCACCTATGGACCTCCAAACCAATATGAACGATGAACAATTGAAAATATCAGCATGGACATCGGATAAATCAAGAACGACAAAGCAGCAAGACCAGACAACATTCCAACTGAGGCACCGAAAGGAGACGTAGCAGCAGCTGTAAATATACTCCACATTCTCTACAACAAGATTTGGGAGGAAGAACAAGTGTTAATAGACTGGAAAGAAGGACACCTCATCAATGTACTAGAAAAAGAGGATCTTGGAGAAAGCGAGAACTAGAAAGGAATCAGTATGTGGTCGATGTCAGTAAAAGTCTTCAACAGAATGTTGTCGAACCAGATGGAAGTTTCAGTAGGTACCAATCAAATCGCGACGATATGGATCATTTTTGAACAATCAAGTGAATGGAACACACCATTATGCAGATTAACGTTCTTGACTACAAGAAAGCACGCGACAGCATGGATAGGATGACACTTTGGAGGCTTCTTCAATACTACGATGTACCTGAGAATATAGTCAACAGCAAACGGTTTTCTTAGGACGGACTGCGTTGCAAAATGGTACACAGAGGGCAGTTCATAGGTTTAATCCAAGTGAAGATCGGCGTCAGACAAGGTTGATTACTCTCACACTTTCGCTTTATTCTGGCAGCTGACTTGATTATGAAGACGCCGAACTCTGATTATAAACACAGAACAGAGTGGAATGCTCGGATGCAACTCGACCAATAGTACTTCGCAAACTATCTGGCCCTTCTATCTTATGCACAGAAATGAATGCATATGAAGACGGCCAGTGTAGCAGCAGCCTCAGAAGCAGTAGGTATGAACACACAAAAGGGAAAAAGCAAGATCCACCGATACAATACAACATACAACAACCAAATCACACTCGACGGAGAAGCTTCGGAACATGTTGTCACTTTTATATATCTGGGGAGCATCATTGATAAGCAAGGTGGATCTGATGTGGATGTGAAGGCGTGGATTGGCAAAGCTAGGGCAGCATTTCTTCAGTTGAATAACATCTGAAACTCGACATAACTATCAACCAACATCGAAGCCAGACTTTTCAAAATAAATGTCAAGACAGTTCCACTGTATGAGACGGAAGCTTGGAGAACCATGAAGGGTATCACCCAGAAGATTCAAGTTTTTATTAACAGTTTTCTAAGCAAAATTTTGCATCCATTGACCAGACACTATCAGCACAAACGTCCTGTGTATAGAACCAATAAGGTAATATCGGAGGAAGACATCAGTAAGAGGCGCTGTAAGCGTATGGAACGCACATTTAAGAAAGCAGCTAACCACACCAAAGGACAATCTCTCTCTTGAAATACTCAGTATCAAAGGAAAGGAGGAAGAGTAGAAACAAAATTACGCCGAAAAATTGAGACAGTCATAAAAATAATGGATAGCAGTTGGGTAGAACTGGAAAGGAAGACCTAGGACAGAGTTGGTTGGAGACTAATTGTCGGTGGCCTATTCTCGTCTAGGAGTGTCTGGTATTAGAAGGTAAGTAAGTTACTTACTGTCAAAAATATATCGATTCATTATAGATTTGTTACCGTTGAAATAGACAATAAATTATTCGTACTGATGTTAACAAACGGCTGGATCTGTTTTGATAAACAGATACTCAGTGTGTAAACCTTCTGTCTTTAAAATACTATCTCATTTGCTCGTGATAATCAATCTCAATGAATCTGTCTGAAGTGCCATTTGTAGCCTTTAGTAGAATTTCTTTTTGTTACCGATGCAGTCGATTGAAAAGTGGTAGCTTTCAGGTGGGAATTATAGATGTTTGTCTTGAAAATGTTCTAACTATACTCAAGGATAAGAGAACTTCTAGGATAAGTTAGGTAGCTTAAAACAATTCTCTTTTACTTGAAATGTCTTTTCTTTATATATTCGAGATTATATTGTATTATATATATATATATATATATATATATATATATATATATATATACGAAATTCTTTTTGTGACACTTTACTTCGAAAATGTTTTGGTGGAATTATCGATTTTCATGTCAGTTACCATACATTCCGTATCAATTTTTTTGGATACTGATAGTTTTATTAATAAATTTTAAAATGTCAAACTTACAGTTTTCTCTTAGGTATCATCATCAATCATGGAAACTTTGGCGTAAAGAACAGACTTACATCGTTTTATCAGATGCTGTTAAAAGAAAAAAAGTGATAAACATAGGATTTGATCCACAAAATCCAGCTTCAGTTATGCACTGTTATAAGCAGGAACGAAATCAGCAAGTTAAGCAGTTAAATACAACAGAGTCAAATGAAACTGTCACAAGACTAAACAAGGTGAGTCGAACTTAATCAGTTTATTCAAAAATAGCTTGTTTGCTAGCGTAAAAAATCTCTTCACTTTTCAGAAAATTCACCATACTTATAGATATGTACATAAGTAACTTCTTAGTTTTTCAAAACATTTCTGTTAAATAATTCCACACGTTCATGACCAATCTATATTTATTCACAGCCCACTAAATATTTCGTAATCCTCAGTCGAATGGCTTATTTCTTCGCGAAATCGCAGTTGGTTAGTTTGAAAACAGAATAAATTAGTTCTTTTTCATATGAATTTGCAATGCTAGAGGAAGTTTTTGTGATGAATTCAAATCTTCCAGTTTAACATTAATCCAGTAAAGTAAATTTGAAAAGATCAAATAATTTTTGGTTTACAGATAATCTTATCATCACTAAGTCTTCCGTGAGTGTATGCTATTCGTTGATTAGTGGGTTTTGCCCAAATAAAGCACAGTTGATATCAGTTTATGTTAATAATAATAGTGATGGTTGACAACGTAAATGTATTAAAAGCCAGTAAACATGTTTTAAAATATGTACAGCAGATTTAAATGGTGTTAATAATGTGACCATAAAAATGTAGAACTCAAATTATTCACTTATTTTAGTGAATAAGTTTCTTATTCACGATGTAAAGTCGAACAAAAATCTTTAACTTATCATATTTCATTACTAGAAAACAATGTTTTGTTTAAATACTCTGACCTTTTACCATATTCATTATTTGTTGTCTTCTTGAAGAAAGGATTGAGTTATTTAAACTTTAATGGATTTGAAATGGTACAGTTAGATTGTGTGTGTCGTAAAACTCAGTCAAATCCCCTAAACTTATTAAATCCTCTGTAGCTTGTACAATACCACAATAGACACCTCTGGATTCCTTTATTAGAAATTATGTTGATGAAGTCATATGTAATTTAATTTATTTATTTACATAGACTAAAGCAATCGGCATTAATAAGGAAATAAATCTGATACGTCATATTCAACAATGAGCTCCTGACAATTGAACAGTAGAGTTTCACTGGAATGATGCAGCAAAAATTAGAAAAATGAGTCTTTCTTTAGAAAACTCTCTAGATTGACTTGAGACTTTTGACACCTAACTGGGTTAATTCCAATACCATGAAAGCATTATTAGTCGGTGCATTTCATTTCTTCAGTAAAGGGATTCAACCAAGAAGAAGTTCACAAAATCAGATAAATCATGATTCGTTGATAACGTATTATGTATACTTAAACATCAATTAGGAACTTATGAATATAACAAATGATGAAATAAATTTTCAGTGTTTTATCTGACATGTAAAGATCTAAGTGCTTAGTATAAAACGTTTAATAAAGATAAGGATAATAAGGTATTGCAGGCACAGCAAAATTATGACCATTGGTTGTTGATTTAATCGACATATTGTATTTTTAGATTAATTAATTCATTTTGTCTAAAAGTACACATAATCAAGTTGTTTTAACATATAAGCCTATAAATTATATCAACGAATTTCTTTATCTAGATGCATTTGTATTCAGGAAAATGTTTTTACTTTATTTCACAAACGAATTGTTATTGCTCTACAGTGATTATTATTTCTGAAAAAAAACTCTTATTTCTTGGGAAAATAATTAATTTTAGTAAAGTAAAAAGTCAACAGATAAATTAGAAAACGAAATATAGTTCCGGTAAATTTTTCTTCAATGAATATACAATTAGAAGAAAATTATGTGCATACAAACCGCTAAGAGCCTTATTTATACCAGACAGACTTAGAAGCTTTCGACCATTTTCATTAAGATAAGAAAAAAAAGTGATTGGTTATTATTTGTAAGGATATTAATGACGAATATTTGAATTTTAGTCACACTATGAACATCAACATTGTGGTTTAGATACTAACAGATGCCGAGTTGTGAATAGAATTAAACAAACATTTTGAATTTTACCGGTAACTAGTATCTAAAATATATCATCAAACTGAGATAATGGTATAATTTTAAAGACGTATGTACATGTTGTTTATTTGACAAATTTGAATACAATCACATAAAACTCCATCTTTCTACTTCATCATACAAAGATTATTGCTGTTTTTTGGAATAAAACTTATACTATTAGATCCATCTTTTCACCTTTAAGCAAGTATTTAAAAAGAAATGTTCAATGTAATATTGCCAAAAATAATAACAACATTATGTCCACCTAAAGTGAGAACTGTTTCATGCAGATGGAATACTACTCTGAATATAAGAACGTATGTAACATTATTTTAGTCACACGTGGACGAGTATTAACTTCTTTTTTTCTGCTAAGATTTTTATGTACTGGGCTATTTTGTCTTGTGATTTCATACTAGTCTTTTATTTTGTTTAGTAAATTAGTTATATTTAACGTACCTGTTTTAGTAAACAGTTGCTAGTCGATAGTTCCATCAGAATAATCATACAACTTTGATGTTGTATTTTTTCAGGATCCTGATACTTATTGAAACATCCAATATCCCGAAATCTCAGATACCGTTTAAAACAAATGGAATAGTAAGGGATTAGACAACAAGGATAGGTCTCAAAATTATGGAATTACTGGGATGTATCTGTCTTAAAAACGTAATATTAAAATAATACTAAATGCCCAAATTAGTGAGCTGTTAAGATCAAACTCAATGCTCGAATATTACTCATATTTCCTGTGTAACATAGTTCAAAGATTTCTAGATTTTGTGTTGATCAGTAACTGAAAGCAAATTGTTTCCATACTTCAATTTATATGTGTATATTGTTTTTGTAAAATCTTTAGACTATAAATGATTCAGAACTAGAAACTAATACAATACGACAACAATTCTCGAATGCTGAAAATTATTCTGCACCTATGCGGAATATAGAATCAGAAGTTTGTGATGAGTTAACTAATCATAGAAAGGATGATTCACCAATGATATCTAATAAGATGGAAATATTATCAACTAAGGAAGAAATGATCAACGAGGAGGAGTGCGCTGCAAATGTTTGCCACACAGAATCGATAGCCTCGTGAGGTTGTTCATCCGTTTCGACAGTACACACAGCACCCTCTGAAAATGATATGGTGAATGAAGCAACGAACTGATCTATTGTATATAAACTACTTTTTTAAAATCCCAACAAACACAAAACGTGACATTTTAATTACTTTTGTCAAATAGATTGAAATATAAAAACAAAGATCAAGAAATACTACACACTGTGTTCGGTTCTATGATAAAAGTTTCTGCCTTATTTCTATGGATAAATTAATTTATTTTGATTATGTATGATAAAGATTTCTGTAAAAATCTTTCATATTGATAACGAGAAGGAAATTATGTATTTTATTTTTAATGACAAAAAAGTTAACCATTAACGAATCATCGCTTTTAATTATAATGAAATAGCGACTAAGATGAAAGTTAACGTTTATTGTTTTTTGTTTGTGTTGTTGATTGTATTATATTCTAATAAACAAAATCTTACGTACAATAAATCTAAATAAAATATATCCAGTCTTTCAGCCATAAAACATTGGTAATGAATGCAAATTCCAGTGGAAAATGTTACCATTCAGACATTTAGTTGTATTTTGTTCAAGTCGAAAAGATAACCAATAAAAAAACGACAGATTTTAGCTTGATTTTACAGAAATAGTAAAATTATTAAATAAATGCAAAGTTTTCATTGCATACAGTTCGTAAACTAGGCAATAATTATATTAGATCATTTGAACGATGAACAAATATAATGATGTAATAGAAAGTTGTTAGTACTACTTTAGAATTTACTGAGGTTAGCTTAACAAACTTCTCTCACCCTACTGATTATTGTTTTGCATCAAATGGTCATATCGTTATCACTAAGACTAAATGAGGTGATTTGATTCTCATTCTACAAACTTATTACGTACAGGGAAAAGACTTGATCCAACAGAAGACCCGAATATTTAGAGATTTGTTAAGTAAGGATACATACTTGTGGAAAGATTGTAAACTTTCTATGTCATAACTCAAATCTTTCACGGTATAAAGAGATTATTTGGTTTTTCCAAAGGTTAGATACATTACAAAATTTATTCATTAATACAGCTTGAATCCATACCTAAAAATCTAAGCTATCTTACATCAGTTTTACTACAGACTTACAAAAAGGATTTCGTACTAGTAGCCATTTTTAGAATAGTGTACACAACTTTCGCAAGCTCTTCTTTAATTCCTAATAATATTAGCTAAGTTAGTTTGTTCTTAATAATAAACCAAAGGAAAGATGGTGAATAATATCTCGCTTGATGAGAGAGACTCGTTAAGTAGTATTACTAAAACAAATACCAAATATAAACATTAGACAAATGAAGTTTCAGAGTGCATAATTCAACTTGCTTATTTCTATATTGATGCTAGTCTGTGATGATCTCATAATCTGTTCAATTTTTAATATATGATCAGTTCAACAAATATTTACCTTTACAAAGACTAGGAACTAACTGATTCATTCAACTCTATATGGTCTGAAGTGCACCGTGAATCTACTGGAAAGCTTTCTACCATACTATTTAAGGTATGAAGTGGAAATTATACCAAAAGTACTCCCATATTCAACTTCATTTTACTTGTTTAAATTAGTCTTACATATGGACATCATGATGGCAAAGCATTCAAGATAATGTCTTGACAACTATTTAAGGCTATCGATTATTTTCATTGATTTTAATCTTATTTAAAACTTACAGGATTATAATACATCTTAAAGTTATCATATAACTAAATAAATTTGTAAACAGTGCATTTACTTCGTATAACACCCAATACTACACATTAACGTTCGTTTTAGTTAGTCAAAATTCATAACAAGAATATTTTGTCTTTCAGAAAGCTAATTTTTTGATGCATTTTTAAAGGTCAAACGTACAGTACATGAATAATAAGTCTCAATCTGTACTAGGTCACGAATTATCCAAATCAGTTCTAATTCCTGCGTTTTATTGATTGCCTGCCTAACATTGATAATGTCAAGGCTAAAAAGTTAGAGTATTTACATAGAAATTCCATAAGAAATAAAACGGATTCTTTATTCAACTGATATAAGTTTATAAAGAAGGTTGTACTGATCAAAAGCAGGTAGTAAATCATTTAAGAAGTAAACATTCGTTAAAGATCGCTTTTTTTTCAGGGACTGATATTAGATGCTGAATCATTTTTTATGAACTATTAAACGCTAGAAAGTTATTTTGTCCCACTGTTGTAACTCTCCGTCCATATTTTCTTGCTATTTTGATAGAGGCTTAAACTTCGATCTTTAGATTTTTTACTGTGAAAGATAGCTTTAGGTCACCCATTTGGAATCTTCAAACAATCGGAGATATTTGGGGATTATCAGTCAATGATAAAAATGAAAACTATCTCGATTCCAACTTCACTTTATCGCGATCGGCTTTTCCGTGTGTTTTAAGACAAAAGTAACCTCCGTAATTTACTCATCTAGACAGGTTGCTGTAAGTCAGAATAATCTAACACTAGAACTTCTAAAGGTCTACTAAATATTTAATATTATAAAACTAACTGGCATATTCAAAATTTGTAGACACATTTTAGTGAGAAATTAATTCATTTGTAAGGAATGTCTCAGTGATTTACAGTTTTAAAATGTAAACTAAAATAAAGTATTAAATTTTGAGTAAGTAAATAAACAACAAATAAATTGTTGGTAAGCATAAACTTCAAATTAGCTTGTGAACGTTTAATTAAACCCTTCGATCCAGTACCTGCCATAAGTATTATGTGTTAAACAAATCAAAATTTCTACAACAGAGTGATTACAGTGAAGAATTTAGTTAGTTCTTTCCGAAAATCCTGAATAAACAAGAATTTTCAACTGATTTAATGTCAGTTATCATTTACAACAATTGAAACACATTTTTCATTGCTAAGTTTCCGATGAATACAATTACAAAGTGAGTCAAAGTTGGTAAAGCACCGACTGAATCAACTGATGATCAAAGTATTTATTAGGAAACTGATAGATTATTTTATTTATTTGCTAGGATGGTAAAGGCCCTTCCACTAACTAAATAGATCAGAACGTTGTTTGGATATCAGTGTTTAATAGTTTTTTTCATGCACAAATCAACAATACACGCAAACAAAGAAACAATACTTGTCTTTATTTATGTCCAGCTGATTTATCATAAATTTGATACGGTGGAGAAAATTAGTTACTCAGAAGGATAATGTGAAGTTTCGTTCAGAGAAAGTTTTTTCTTTATTTCTGTTAGCAAACACCTTTGAGGCGAAGTAACCTGATTTTATCTACAACACAGACAACTGCTTGTATATCATTACATACCAGTTTAATATACTTCTAATGATTTTTCGACATTCACTCCATGTTTTCAATATGTTTTTATCTCTATTCTTCTACACCATCAGTACAACTAAATGTCGACTGAACGGAAGTATTTTAAGCTTGTTGGATTCACTGAGCTGTATCGTTGAGTTGCTATTTGAGAAAGTTGTTCAGAGCTATAATGAAAGCGTCTTGATTAATTCAGCCGATTCATAGGATGTTATATCATCGAAAGTATCCATGTTAACTGCCATGCTATTAGTTTAATATTTCATTCAATAATTCAGTTAAAGATAATCACTTGATATTCCTCATTTGCTTGAAATAAAAAACGGACCTTTCAAAAAAATTGGAGAGCTACACCATTCTAAGATTATTTGAAAAATCAAGCATTGCGTATTATTATCGGATATTATCGGATAATTTTTCCAGGTTTACTGAACTATTAAAAGAACTAACCGAGTAAAATATTTTATTTAATAAAAAAATCTAATGATACACTTATGTATTATCAAACGACTGAAAATTTACACACTTCTGATAATATTTACGAAGTAGACTCGGCGAATTATGGCTTCATTTGATAATATAGTACTTGAAGTAATTTTTATGCAAATCACTATTCAATTTAAGACTGGTTAGGCTAAAATGAAAAATCCTTAAACTTTTTTGTCAAATTATTCAATTATGCTCACTTTTAATCCTCTGTCTAAAGACGAAACAGAAAATTTTGAATTTCAAGACACTATCCAATGATAAAATACTGTGATTATCATCAGATTGTGATTCAGTTATTTTCAAAATCAATTACTTCAAATTACGCCATTTATAAGTAAGTATATCGAAAATTCTTATTGTAGGTTGATACACCATTTTGGAACTGCTTGACTACTTAATTGGGAGTTTGTAAAAAATTTAATTTGAAAATAATTTTCATCAAGAACTGATACTGATCATATCATGAGTTGATAAAATTGGCTAACCATGTTCTTTTCAATTGCAACTTGTCCAGTGAATGACATACATGAATATGATCTAACAATAATCTAGACATTACGTTTTATATGTTGTTCCTTCAAGAAAGAAACGTCCATTGTAGTCTAGAAGAAGATCAAATTGTTCAAGGACTATAAGGAAGAGTATATGTAATTTGAATTACTGAAAATTAACTAGAATAATTTGAAAATTTTTGATGCATCAGAAACTAGTTATGCGTATTTCATTTTAGCTTCTTGATAAAATTCTTTGCTAGTATTCATATTAGTGATAATATCTATTTTTGATATAGAATACCACACAGTTTCACTTATTAAAATATCATGTCTCTTGGATTAAACTGGAAATTTCCTGACAGAATGAAATGATAAAAATTATTCACTACTAAGGCTATTTTCAATAATTCAGGACTGTTAATTATCGTTTCAGAAAGTTTTCTAAATTCCCAACTGATTATTATTTATCTAAAGCTAGTAAAACAAAGTTCAGTTCCAAGTCGGAACACTGGTTCATAGCTATATTGTGTTGTAAATGTAGTTCTGTAACATCACAACATTCATTCATTGTACTTCAATAGTTTGTCATCAAAATTATTCGATAATTGTATCGACCATAATTTTGTATTTGTAATAATTCAATAACAGCATCGATTATTAACTCCGCCAGTGGAACCTTCGGGGCTACTGCCTG